GGGTGCTTAATCTAATAATTATCATTTTCCAGAAATATTAAGGATTAAAAATGACTTTTTAAAGAAAAATAAAGCACTTGGCTAAAATGGGTAAACTAATCTTTGTAGTTTTTGAAAGAATGTTGTTTGGAGTGGTAAAGAAATACAGTACCTGAACAATATCACCAAGGTTGATAATGAAGGAATTTGGGATGAGTTTAATTCTTATCCACTCTCCATTGTGTTTCACTTCTAGTCCTTCAACCTCATCTTGTGCAAGAACGGTTAAGGCTCCGACATCCTTGTGTGGACCAACACCAAGGGCTAGGTGTGGACTAGGGCATGTAGGATAATAATTAAGACGAAAAAGGCTAGTTTGATCTTTCACAAAAAAATCCTCAAACCTTTTAGCTTCAAGGCCTAAGCTCAAAGCTATAAGCTCCATTAATTTTAAGGACAATTTCTCTGTCTCTTCAACATACTTTTTGATTGTAGTCCTACACATATTCATGTTCACATACTCAATTACAAAAACAAAAGGAAAGAAAAGCTTTCTTTTAACCAAAATGAAAGAATTAATAAAAAATACATATAACTTGCAAATTAATTGATGATTTTATTCAATTAGGAAAGCTAAAGGGTAGGCTTTGAAAGGTGTAACAACATATACCTCTTCTTATAATTCTCTTCATTCTTTATAATAATATTAATAACAAGTTAACTTTTACCTTTTAACATCATCAACCTTTCCTTATTTTAAGTTATAGTAATAATAATAATAATTTATTTTCTAACAAACATCTTCGTTCCCTTCTCTAAACCAATTGCAATATTAAGTTAATTTTGTCGCAATCAAACATCCCCGTAATATTCTAGAGCTTATTAGAGAGCTCAAGTTATGTTATTGTTTTTTTTAAAAGGTTTAGTGATTAAATTATTATCACATTATTACAATGTTATCTTATTGAACATGATTTAAGTTTCTGCTTGCACAAGCGACATCACCAATAAATTATGCTTCAACAACTATTAGTTACATTTTAGACATATCCATGAGATTGCTCCAAAGCTCAGTTAGAAACCATATTCAAATGTACTTTTAGAATATTTTTCGTCTCATATGTATAATAAGAATTTGCAAAAGCAAGTAAGTCTTTTTCTCTTCCTTTTGTAAAAATCCCAAAGCCACACTAAAATTCATTTTACAACTTGTAAATACAACTGAGTTGGTTTTAAATTATACCTATTAATTAAGCTTATACTAAACACTATAAGCCTTTGTAATTGTAAAACACACCAAACTTGCAACAATTTGCTTAAAACAAATGTAATCTAAAGTTATACTATCAACACCTTTGTTAATCTTAGAACTTAAAACAATTGGACTTTTTAGATGTTTTCTCTGAAGCATTCCAAACTTTCTTCAATATATCATTAACATATCTTTTTTAATTGAAAACAACTCCTTTTGATTTTTATAAAAGTTCAATGCTAAGAATTTCACCTTTCCTAGGATAGCCATGTCAAAACTGCAAAGTAGAGTTCTTAACACTAGTGCAGTAAGAGGAAACGACAGCGGTTATTTTTGTCCATAGGTAGCGGTTCCTGAACCGAGACATATACAGGCAAGGCAAAAAGTCTACTCC